CGAGGTCGGGGCAACGCAACGTCAGCGCCAACGCGTCAGACGCGCCCATGTTCGTGACCTTCAGTGACCTCAACGCCGTCAAATGTCGCAGCACACTCAGATCTGTCGTGACCCAATTCTTGCTAATATCGAGCGTCTCTAATTTCGGTGACAGAAATTTGAGGGCACTAAATTCGACAACTTTCGTCTCGGACACGTCCAGAGCATGGAGCTCCGGTAGAGCCTCCAATACAGCCAAGCTCGCCACATTGGTGCGTCGGATACTCAGCGACTGTAGGTGGGGCAGCACTACCAGTGGGGCCAGATCCACCACGTCGGTTTCTGCCAAATCTAAGGCCCTTAAATTCCACCCGGTAGGTTGAAGGGCTTTATTTTCGGGACATTGTTCGGCTACGTCCAGTAGCTCGGCGAGCGTAATATCGGCGTCTGCGACGGTCAGTTCCTGTAGTGTCGGTATGAGTTGTAGCACCGCCGCTACGTTGATGGCAGGCTCCTCCTCCTCGGGCGCGTCCTCCTCGGGAGTCCAGTACGGGTAGTCCCAGAACCGCAGAGAGCGTAGAGCAGGTAGAACACGCAGCAGATTCAGCAAGTGCATACCCGTACGCGGCACCCTGATGGTCGTAATAGAGCGCATCATCTCGGGCTTCATGTGGCGCAAGAAACTGTCCGCATAGTAGCTGGCAGTCGGCAGCTCGTCCGTCTGGTTGGTGAGAGGCGGCGGGGGCACGCGTAGTACGCCCTGGGACAGCACGAAGCGGCGCAAGTCCGAGCTGGCCAGCGAGCGGCTGCAAGACGACAAGCACAGCCAGTCGCGGTACGAAAGGAAGCCCACGACGAAGCGTAGCACGTCCGTTTTGCCGTCCAGATCACCCAGCACATGCTCCATCGTCTTGCTTGTCGAGATTTTTCTAATCTAGAACATGTATTTCTAAGCTTAATTTGCAAACATCAAAACCAAAAACACGTAAAAGTAAATATTTGCAGTTTCAGCACTAAAATGTACAAGTACGCGCTCTTGCCTATTGTGCTTGATCGCACTGGTTGCAGAATGTGTCAGTAAAAGTGAAGAATAGCGGATGCTGTTGTCATGTCGAAAGCTGCGAGTAAGGGGCTGCAGTTTCATGCCGAGGAATGTCCCGGGCCAAGTGCGCTACGTTGCTTACGTGTTCGGCTGTGTGATACTGTACATGTAGCTCCTCACAATGGAGTCAAATCGCGAAGAAGAAGAGACGGTCGCCTATTCAGCAGCGCCGAACGAGCTTGGCTGCTGCATTTTCAGGACGAAAGAAATCCCTGGAAAATGTATAACCGTCCAGTAAGTAGTAACGCATCGGTCACCTTGGCTGGGCCATTGGACATGATCCCAGCACTCATCCACTACAGCAAAAGAAAACTTCCTGGGCTCGATGGTCTGTAAGAAAACTCTCGGGCGACTAGCTCAACACAAATCTTTGAGAAACAACCACAAACGTTTCTCTCAAACAACTTGTGAAGCTTAGAAAGTGACAGCAGCGCATGAATCTGCGAACATGCTCAGACGTTTTGAGCCTGACGCTGGGGAAGATGTCAGATTCGCAACTGCGAGTATGGTCAAGCGATTAGTTAGTATCAGTAGTGCATTTCGGGGGCCGTTGCACGTGAAGGGGCACGCAGTTTCGGCAAGTCGGGGGACTCGACGATTCATTATCGCTCAGCACGGGGCCACAAACTTGATTTCCAAGTTGTAAGGGCTCTAAAACGGATGCAACCGACGAACATCTCAAGAGCTGGCGTGGACGTTTCGAACCACACTAGCGCTGAAGATCATGGCAGCGTAGCGTCGAGCTGTGTGAGAGCTCGTGTCACGCGAGCCAGGTCCACTCTCATTTTCCAATTCGCCTGCATCTGCAAAGAGCGACTTACCAAGACTACCAACCTACCTATACTCGGTCATCCAGCTACCTGTTTTCAGAGCAATCATGGTCAAGTTTAGCGTCTCCCTTCTTCTAGCTGCCTTAATGGCAGCCCCCGCTCTCGCTGGTTATTCCCCAGAATCTGGCGGATACACCCCAACAACCAGCGAGCCTACTACTGAGGATGGTGCAACTTGTGACCAGAATCCCGCGATGCCAGACACGTGCGACGGAAGCGACGGCTGGTACCCTGTGTCCGTGGTGGGCAAGGAGGGATACTTCTGTGCCCAGGGACCGATCTGTACCTGGACTCGGAAATTATCTCCACAAGCACACGAAAAATTATGCTGGTCTGATCCAGCCATTGTCTTCATTGCTGAAGAAAGACATCACATGGTCGTGGACTCCCGAACATCAGTCAGCATCATGGCATCGCGGTTGAACGTCGCCTTAGGGTGCTTGCTGGTGTAGTGCTGCTCGTACGACTTAATGTCGGGCGATGCGCTCTATTAAATACACATCACACCGGTTAGTATCGATGGCCGTACCATGTTGTACGAGCTTATGTTCCTGTCAATATTGCCACCGCATACCATGCAGATGTCGCACGTGAAGTTAAGCTTGGCGACACCGCGTGTGGAGGCACCGGTTTTGCCTCCGCCCTTGTTGACTTGCTTTTGGCGCCTCTCGAGTTCTGCCGCCGTATGCTTTTTGAACTTGGCCTTGCCACCCATACCTGCAAATGATCTGCGCAGGACGCACTTGGACTCTTCTTCAGCAATGAACCGAGTTATATGTTGCTTCGCGTAAAGAATGGAGGAAAACGGACCGGACCGGTCCGGACCGTAACAATCACCATTGAGGTGTCGAACACCAAATAGGTGCCATCGTTAGATGAGATCTTGAAACGCCGCTACGATGCTT